CCGCCAAAGCTGTCGAGCAGCCGGTGGAAGTGGAGGAAGAGGGCGACGAGGAATTGGACGATAATCAAGATCAGCAGGAAGAAATTCCCACCACGACTACCGAATCCTCGAAGAAAGTTCGCGGCGGTGTCAGACCTTTCAGGTAATCGCAACTTCCATTGTCTAGAATTTGGAGCGTGCTACGGTGGAACAGCGCGGAATCTCGATTGCTGGAGCATCGATCAGTAGATTAGAATTCGTCGATGGTTTCTGGCGAGATAGAAATTTTGAAATTTTCCATCAATTCGGGCAACGAATATACTGTTCGAATAAGATAACGAAAAATGTCGCTTGGTTGGTTTCAAGGTCGAACCAGGATCTCTTAGCCGCGTTAAAGAGAAGAAGAGCTCAAGTGGGACCCTCGCACCGAGAAACGTCTGGTACGCAAGCCGCCTCGGAATCGACAACACCAAAATCCAAGTAACTATGACGCAGAATTTTTAATAGTCTTTCTATCGTAGCACACGACTTTACATTAACCTCTTGCATGTATATTAATGGCACTTTATTCGAGTAAATAACGGGAAAAAAGGCAATGATATTTAAGACAGCAGTCACGTCATCTTTAACGTTTAAGGTTATTACGGTTCGTCCAGGACAACTTTCTCGAAACGAAAAAGTTAACAAAGTTATAGAAATATAAAATATCAAACGTTTGCTTATGGCTATTTGGTATAAGACGAGGAGCAGGAAAATGATTGTTCAGTGGGTGACGAATAATGAAATGTTCTGATTTTCAGAGCGACCACGCACAGCCGCAGCAAAAGCAGCGCCAGCGGTGCGAACGAAGCGAAATCATCGGGACGCGGCAGGTTCGGAGGATCCAGGGGAAGCAAACCTTTGCAAGAAGAGGTGGAGGAAACCCAACGAGAGGAGGTGCAAGTGAAACCGAAACCTTATCGCAGAGGATAAATGGATAGTAGAAAGGGATGCGAGTTTCCAGCTTTGTTTGACTTGAACGCGGAACGAAACAATTAAAAGGATTGCAGCGACCAACGTCGATCTGTTCGAAGCGGCGTGAACTTTTTCCCTTCTTTCGGACGAACACACGAAACTTGCAACGAAAGTCTCCCTTTTATAATCCGCGTTTGAAAAATTAGAACGCGACAACTGAACGCGCGGCAAAAGAAAAGCGCCAGATACTCGTGTAACATTTGCGTACTAAAAGTACATTTCGAAAACTATGACATGTATATAGAAGGAGGCTGCCATTCACCGAATACTCAAGGTACTTACTGTATAAATGTAAATTAATAACAATAAAATTTCTAGAAACAAACACTTGGGAAATACGTGCATAATTTATTAATTAACGGGTTTAACGTGATGGATTTCGAATTGGAATTTTCGAGATCTGGTGAGCGTTACAATGTGACTAACCTTGACGAGTCTAGGAATCGACAACTAACGCCACGATCTTTATCTCGTAAGTTACTTTCCTTCGGGCGTATTTACATAGCCGCGAGAATGGTGCGCGATGTAAGCAGGAGAAATTCCAACCACCGACTTTGGAATGTCGAGGGCGTGCTCCATCTGCACTCTCGCATTCTCATCTTTTATACATCTCGCGCGTGCACCACTCCCAAACTTTGAAATCTCGCCGCTAGCAACCGACAGCCTTACAACCGTCATGTTTGTAGAACACACTTGGCATCGACGATTCGTCTTCGTCGCATCATTTTGCCGCTTCCACTTCTATCGGTCTTCCCCTTTAATATATTTGTTAATTTAGCCATGTTCACGCAGGCGCTATGACCTGAAAGAATGATGACCTTTTGGAGCGTAAACTACGCATAAGGTAAGAATTTTGAAAGCAAACGGGATATACCGTCGAAAAATACAAAGGAGCTAGAAAATCAAACGTATCGGTAGAAAGACGACTAGAACATGAGAGGTGGAAAGGAAGTGGATGGAATGGGAGAAGAAGAAGACGAAAAGAAGGAAGAGAGGAGAGGGCGAAAGGCGAACTCGACCAGGCTCTGTTGTGTATACGCGAGAGGTAGGAAAGTGAGAGGCAGTATCTCGTCGGCCTTGAAGCCTTTGCGAGAAGCATTTCACTCGCAAAGACCATCCGAGTCGCGTCACCGGTCTGATAACACGGGAGGACGTTGAGAAGCGAACTCGAGAAATCGAGAAATCGAGAAATGTCGCCGGGAGAAGTTGTTTTTCTTAAAACGTACTTCATACACTTGCCGATCACTTGAATAAAATATCTGAAAAATGATTGTTTCAATGACATATCGTTTTATCAGTGACAGACTTCTTTACGGTGCCTTACGTACACAATTAGACTTGAACGCGTATTATTATTCGAGGATAATCGATAATGTTGTTTCGTTGTCTTCTAATTTACGATTTAATTTGCCGTAAAAAATATCTTGCAAACGCGAGAAAATAAGAAATGTTTTCGACCTCTGGAATATCCTAGCGAAATATTTAGAAAGTTTGCTTATATTCGGAACGTAATGTGTAGTGTTTATGTTCGAATAGCTACGAGTGTTCTAATTTTAGTTGCTACTGTTACTTACCTACACTGTTACGTTATTAAGCTAAAAATTTGTTTGCCGTCGATGAACGCTATTTAAAGAAATAAAAAACTAGACGTATCTTCGAGTCGATGGCATTTAATTAAGAATCGCGAATGATAGATGTCCTATTCACCGGTAATCCTTGACTGGGACTACATTCCGTTAAGAATTTCCCGTTTCACTCGACCTCTACCACGGCACACGACCGATATAGACAAACCACGACCGTTTCCATTGTTACATTAACCTCTGGAAACGTATCGCTATAATACAGCAAAGTCTTCGACGTGTGAAAACTGTTGTTCGGTTAATTGAATTTCTCGTATAATAAAACAACCAGTTTTCTAATTACAAAGTGTCGAATTTATTCAGAGCGTCAAAAATATCGAACCAGGGGCGGAGAAAATTGCCAGTTTATTTTAATATTTAAAAGCTTTTTACCCTGGCAAAACTACGATAGGAGGAGAGTATCGTATTTGGCCTCGATGTATGTTCGTCGTTTGGCCCTGCAACTTCAAAACGGCTTAACCGACTTCGACTTTGTAGGTCTCGATCGATTCCTGTCACGGCAGTGTTGCAGGTTATGTAACGTATGCGCCTAAATCGGCGAATTCGGCAACAGAATCTATTTTCTTCTTCGTTTACACAGCGCGTTTATTTATAGGTTTCGCAATGATTATAAAAATCGTCACGACGACGATCAATTTTTTTTAGTTTTACGAATCGTTCGTTTTAACGTTTACTTCTTCAATTGCTAGTTTTAACTATCACACACTGTGAAAGATATTTGGCAGGCGCATTTTTCCTTCCATCGATTACCAATTACCGAGATAAACAGCTATTATAAGATCGAATATATTACACGTCTACGTGACCCAAGAGCCTACTTGGCGCATCACGTGCAAGTGACTTTTAAAAGTGCACCTCGCCATGCATATATTCGTGACTCGTGTCCAGAGACGACCAGTGCTACGTTGACCTTTCGATAATGTCGTCGAAGTCGGCGGCTGCAGCTGCGGCAGATGCAACGCTAATAACGATCGTGCTTCTCATCTGTGTACGTGGCGCCTTCTCCTAAGCCAGTGGTTCTTAACCTTTTGTCTACCACGGACCCCCTTTGGATAATTTTTCTGTCGTCACGAGCCACCAACATCTAACTGGAACTTGAAATCCTCGAAAATTAAACGTTGTAACGTTAGTAACCCGTACAACTTTTTGCACAAAACTATGCGAGCAAGGACCTCGTGACAGGTTAAGAATTGCTGTTCCGAGCCATTTTAACGCCACTGCGCTTTCTAATGCGATCGAGAAGATGTATGCAAAAGTATAGAACGTCGATAAGTTATCAGTCCCAAACCTTTCTGTTCGATCGAGTACGACATAGCCGAGGACGATCGAAAGTAAGGCTATTGCCGGAAGGAAATTGCGTAAACGTTTCTCGAGCTTGCCCGAACGTTAGAAAGTTTCAAATATCTCGTGTCGCCAGTCGTTCCGAAAAGTTATTCACTGCAACTTCTCTAGCTAGGGATTTTCACGTGTCGATTATATCAATCCTTGATGGCATGATCGATACATGATACTTTATTCGTGGCGATAAGTATTAATCCTGTAAGGAATTCTTTTCAGGAAAAAAGTATTTTTCGAAGCAGTTAGTAATAATTAGCTTGGCTTTTGTCCATCGCGGCCTTTGTGATATAAACGCGTGGATTATTGAAAAAGCGAAAAGAAAGAAAATAACCTACAGAAACGTAATACCAACAAAGTCACGCAAAACGTGTTCTCGGTGGTTTTTAGTTACTTTGCAAAGATTATCGATCTTTTTTCGTTCCTATTGCGTTCTATTGCGTATTAAATGGTTGATTTCGTTCGACAGAATCTATTAACCACGAGTGTTGTTAAATAAGACTTGTCAGACGTTGGCCGAACGCTTCGCATTTAACCAAACACAGCGTGATCGTTGTTTCGTCGATCGTTTTATCGAATTACAAATCGACATGGAATTCTCGTAAAACTTGAAATTTGCACGCGATGCGACAACAATCGCAAAATCGATAGGGATTTTTAAAAAGCCATAGACTATAAGGGAAGAGAGAAGCTGCTGTGGACGTGAAAAACAAAGAATGGAAACATGGAAGTAAGAAATTGGAAAGAAGCCACCATAGAACACCACACCTTAGTGCGCTAAGAACTAAAAGAGAACATAAATTGTATTCTCAGGAGAACAACGGGAGAAGACAGTGAACAACGGTTCGTGTCGCAAAACGGAAAGTCGTTGCGAAACGAGGAAACGATTATAGAAATGCAACGGTATTATTTCTCATTATATTGCACAAAACTGTAACGTGGCGCGCTCGGTTGTTCGTTATGAGCTGTATGGCGCATTTCCCCCAGGCAAATATACGTCTGCGCGACGAGAATAACTCGTAATTGTACTTCATTTAGCCGAGCTCGTCAGCTCTTGTGCTCACCTGCTTGAAAGGCACGTATAATCGGATTTATCGTTCTTTTCGATGCTCTTGAAAACGTTTCAAACGCGACGCCTCTTACGACACGGGGCGGAAAAGGCATCGAGTCATTGAAGGAAGATCGACGATGGTAAGTGGAGAAAGGAGTGGAAAGAGCGCGTAAAAAAATACATCGTCAGCTTTATTTTTGTAGGGTAAGCGAAGAAGCGAGATTCTACGACTTAGAATAAGACGAAAGTGAAGAATAATAGAATTAAGTTGCAGACTTACTTACTTATCTCAGGCTGATGGTCAAGTAATTGAACTTGGCTTTACTTGCTATATACAGAGACAAAGTTAAAACTGATTAAAACTGAACATAATACGGTAACACGACAGCTGTATCGATTCTTTGGTTATTCTTCCTCTTTGTCTCTAAATATCTTCCTATACAAATTCTGGTCGTTACGCTTCATTCATTCCGCTTATCCTTTGCCTATCTGTTATTTTACCTATGCATCAGTTGCTGATTGTTGAGGTTGACTCATAGAATAAAGCGTGAATAAATTTGTAATAGATAAATATATTGAGATAAATAAAGTATAGATATAAATATATTGTATGCTGATTCAGATACTCACTCTTACAGTGTTACAATACAACAAAAGAAGCTATGATAGGGAGCACGTTCATATACAGGGTGGTTGGTAACTGGTGGTACAAGCGGAAAGGGGGTGATCTTTTTTTCTTTTTTTTTAACTTTTCCATCGAGACAACGATCTACAGTGAGATCCGTTATAACGAGACGCGATAAAGTGCACGCGTACCGAGCGAAAATTCAAAGTCGATTTTTTCGAAAACAAAGCCTCAAACGAAAAATTTTTATTCTATATTTTCGACTTCTTTTTTCGCGTAGAATCGCCCCCTTTCCGCTTGCACCACCAGTTACCAACCACTCTGTATTTATAGCAAAGAACATTACCAAAAAATTAGCAATAGAAATTTATTTAATATACTCTCTGTTTGTGATTTTCCCTCTTTTCCTCCTTTTCTTCTCTATTTTTAACCAGCTTGTACATCTTCATTTCTTCGACACTGAAATTCATTCCATCTATCATTTCACGTTCCTCCTCGCAGTGTCTCGACGCGTTTTCCCCTTTTCCGGGCAACGTATATTTTTTCTTCTCCTCTTTCAAGCAGAACTTTTTTGCCTCTTCGACATCCCACCGCATCTTTCATCCCCTGAAGATGATTCGCCAGATCCGCCGTGCTTCATTTTTACACACGTCGGCCAATCTTCTCGACTTCGTTCGTTGCACGAATTCACCGCTCACGCTGTGTAATGGCGCGCAAATGCGTTGTTTACGACCTGTGAACACGAGCATGATGCGCGATGACTATGATTTAGAATAAGACGAAAGCGAAGAATGAGAAACTTGCGTCGGAGACTTCCTCATTTCCAGATATGTTACCGAATCCTCTTAACTTGGTTCGTGGCGTGAATTTAGGGCCCACGGCATACAAACGCGTTGTTTACGACCTCTGAACACGAGCATTACGTCTCGCGCGATAATACGGCCGACGGCCCAGAATAAAACGAAGCGTTGCTCGATGGAGAGGAAGAGGAAAGGACTTTCTCCGAGCGGAGATCCTTGTTCGCTTTCCCTGATATCGTATCCGTGCGCGTTTCAGCGTCCCAAAGGTTCGACGTAAGGGCGTTGTGATGCAAAGTTGCAAACGTACGATCCACGTCCTAATTTTCAGCGTATCGATCCATCAAAAGACAACTTATTATACATTTTACAACGTTTCGTAACGCGATTACTCTACGACGCGCATATGTGCATAACTTTAATTACTTTCGAGTTGGTTTCTGCCAAATTACCGGAAAGCAAAGTCGCCTTCTTCTTGCAGCATCCTGTTCAATTTCTCTCTACAACGTGACTCGTTAAGAACCATGGAGAATCATCGAAGAGTTAAGAAACCTTAGGAGGTTTTCCGAGATCGATATCGTTCGATGCACGGGCTACAACGCCTACCTGCCATCGTGTAGCAATATACACGCCAATGTTAAGGTCGTGCCATCTGCGGTGGCCGCGTAACGAAACGTAATGGAAATTGGCGATCGTCAACGCGATATCTAGGTCAAGTTGATGTCCGGTTCTGCGAAACCGGAATATGTATCAGTAAAATCTTCCCTGACGCTAGTTCCTTACAACGAATCAACGCATTCACACTCGCAAGAGCGAAGTGGCGCGTTGAAAGTTATCTTAGTTCGTGAAATTCGCCTTATTTTAATCATCCATCAAAAATTGGAAAAAAAGAAACGCTGCTGACTAAAAACGCATCGAAGAATGGGAAATGTACCTAACGAGACGCATTCCTTGTCGTAAATAGTCAAGAGTAGACGAAAGAAGACTAGAGTGTTTGGTCGGCGGTAGAAAGATCTACGAGTAATAAAGGCGACATCATCTTACGTAATAACGTAACGACTATTCAACGTATCGTAGAAAAATACACGCACATGACCACTTTCACGGATGCTTCGCCATGGTGAATGGTGTGGCGAACGGTTGGTTTTACCACGCTGTTTTACGATAGTCGGGAATAGAGGAAACCGTATGACGCAAATATGGCCCTGGCGTTACTGTTCTCACCTCTACTATGCAAATGCCACGACTCGTCGATCATTTGGCCGTACCCGTTCGCCAAAAGATGAAAGAGGATGAAAAGAGAAAAAGAAAGAAAAGAAAAACGAAGGCATCCGGACCGGTCGACCGGTGGGAGGTAGAATCGATGACGATGGAAGGCACTTTCCATGAAATTCCTGAAGGCGCCTCTCGGCAGGTTTCATCATCGCGCTTACCCAAAGAAATCGAAAACTATCAACGACGCCGAACGCATTGTTGCGGCCAAATATTCGTAAGCCCCGTGGAAGATGCAAAATGGCGCCTATTGTGTTGGAGAGCGAAAGTCATCCACGATATTCACACGTGTCTTAGATTCCGGTTCTTGGCTGTCCTTAACATTGAACGGGCTGGTCGTGTTCGACCTTACGTCGAGAGGATGTTTTGCAACTTGCAGATTTCACTTCGATACCCTGCATTCTCACCGATGCAATGGCCAATCGAATCGCGTCCATCGCGTCCATCTGCTATTACCATCGAGACAGAGCATAGTACTCGGCTATGGACTTAGAATCGCAGATAGAAATTTCATTTCTCTGGGATACAGCTGCCGATGGCGAACACGCGTCACATTTTGAGAGAAGGCACGAGCTGTATCGAAGCTCTGATCGGCAACCGTAGATAATACGAAACGGTATCGTAGACATCGAGCAAGAATCGCCAATATCCTCGATCTCGACCACATCCTCGAAGCGTCGGACACACCCGTGACCAGAGAAAGTGAATTTTGTAAAAGCAAATCCCAAGTAGAAACGAAATGTATCGGCGCCTTCTTCTCGCTTCGGACACGCTCTTTTTCAACGTACGTGTTGTTTCTTCGCGTTGCGGGATATCGCGATGTAATAAAATTGGAAGAGCGTCGAGTTATTTGTAAAATAATTTACATCGGTGTTGGGACACGGCGTTTCCCAGAAATTGAATTTGTCTTCGGGTAGGTTGCTACAACGTCATACCGTGCAAGGAACTCAAGCATCGCAGTCTGTTTGCTATCCCAACATCGCGAACCTATGGCGAAAACTGGAGAAAAGATCGGTCGTCCGCGTCATACCTAAACGAGTAGAATTTCGAAATAGTTGCTCACCGCTATAACGAGCCAGTGGCAAACTTGAACCAACGTAAATTCGATTTCTGCAATCGCGTTCTTCCACCGTACCGTGTACACTGTGCGCTTTCGATCTTGGCTTGTCATCCAACTTAATTTCGATTAGGGTGACGCACGAGGCGCGGCGTTCGATGAGCCACGCTCGTGTCCACGAACTTTGTAGTTACATATGCTACCTAGAACGCGAACACGGAGAAAGTGAATCCGGCATCGCCACGTTGTAAATCGCCGATCGAAAAGGCGTGGGCTTTTAGCGTTAAAGCATCATCCGTGTTCAGAATTTCCTTGGAAACGCGTACTTCGATGTCGGTTCACGTGCATAAGACGGAGCGGTTAGTGTGCAACAACCTCGATGTCCTCTGGAACTTTGCGACGTTGCCGCGGAAATTTCCCTATAGATAACTTTTGAAAAAATTCCACGAACAAACGTCTCTCGAAAGTGTATCGAGAAATCGCGCGAATCGCGAAGGTCCATTGAAATGCAGGCCGAGTTCCGCGAAAGTGCAGTCAAGGTTCTCGAGTCGTTCACGAGTATCCCGTACACGCGTGCATCGATACGTTATGCCGCGTATGTGTCTCGTACGAACCGTCGTGATTTCATCGATAGATTTCACGGTCAACCTGGATATTCCGTCGATACCGTTGTTCGAGCCTCTAACAAAAAATTTGAAAAATATCCATCCTCGTATTTGTGGTGGCACTCGACGACGGGACTTTCCGACAGCTTCGCGACACAAAGCGCTTACCATCAAACCGTAAGGTCGACATGTCCAATGTACCATCGATGATGGTGGGAACGTTGTGGGGTGGGCGTGTCTTTCTTGAGGCGATCCTGGTCCGATATGTCGTATCGATGGAATTGTGGCGGCACTCGATCACGGAACTTTCCAACGGCTTCGCGACACAAAGCGCTATACCTTCAAAGCGTATATCCCTACGGTCCTTTCGCCGAATATTCCGAAGAATGCATACGCGGCAACCGTCGCGGACGTCTAACAACATTCGTGCATAGTGGCGATATCGAGGGACAACAAAGAAAAGAATCCGGTTTTGAACAAAAGATTCATTCCGTTTCGAACAACGAAGTGCAATGGGTCCAGCGTAACAGCAAAGCAAACACATTCGAAAAGCGTGATTGTTTATTGTTGATCGTTGATTGTTGATTGTTGATTGTTGATTGTTGGTTGTTGGTTGTTGGTTGTTGGTTGTTGATGGTTGATGGTTGATGGTTGATGGTTGATGGTTGATGGTTGATGGTTGATGGTTGATGGTTGATGGTTGATGGTTGATGGTTGATGGTTGATGGTTGATGGTTGATGGTTGATGGTTGATGGTTGATGGTTGATGGTTGATGGTTGATGGTTGATGGTTGATGGTTGATGGTTGATGGTTGATGGTTGATGGTTGATGGTTGATGGTTGATGGTTGATGGTTGATGGTTGATGGTTGATGGTTGATGGTTGATGGTTGATGGTTGATGGTTGATGGTTGATGGTTGATGGTTGATGGTTGATGGTTGATGGTTGA